TTATTAAGATGTTGGAATACTTCTGTGACGCTCTTAGGAGCATTTTGAAGAAATCTTCAAATCCTCTGTAGAAAATCTTCAGGGTCTTGCCTTCAGACATTTTTTTTGAAGCCTTTAATGGGCCCTAAAATATTACGTAGCGTAAACAGAACAACATGTAGCCTTATTCATGGAAGAACGTGAACGTTTGGAGGTTTCTGGCATTTTATAAAGGGTTGAGGAGTCCTTCAAATGCGCACTTCGGAACATCTCTAAAGCGTCTTCAGGAAAGCCTTGTTCAGAGTGTTTTCAAAAAGGCTCCATAAGGTAACAGTGATACCTCTTTGCCATCCTTCGGATTCTTTCCGAAGGGAATTTTGAAGGCACGCGAAAGCGAAAAGTTTATTTGCCAGGAAGCTAAGCGCAATTTTTGGAGACCGCACAAGAGCGTTTCTACGTTCCGATATCGTTCGCGGTTTTCGCGATTCGATTGTAACACAATACAAAAAGCTCGGCAATTTCCTCGCTTCGCATCGCTGCAGGCCAAAATCCATTCGCTTATCGACTAATTTTTTTTCCAATTTATAACGGGAAACTCCGACCGCAACCTGATTTACAGCGAATAGTTTTATTATGCACGACTCGTTTTTCAATGCAAGTCAATGCGAAGGCCGCTACGAACTTTGCTTTCCCGATTATAACTTCCTTCCATTATTGAATGAGAAACTGTAAGGCACGCGATAGGATTTTGTTTTGTTTATAGATTCTCGAAAACAATAACAAAACCTTCAAAAAAATGAACAAAGGGCACTCCTCATTTCCAAAAAAAAAGGGTAAGAATCTCCAAGCCCTTGTCAAGTTTTTGAAGAAGACTTGTCAGACATGAAACAATTTACACTGAACTCAGAACTACACACAGTCTCCAAATTCCAAATTTTCAAAGTGGTATATGCTCCTGGTCCAAAATCTCTTGTATCAGGGGAACATAAAACGAAAGATAAGGTCTTCGTAATCAATAGCTCACCCTTGCATCCTCTGAGATCCTGAAAAATTGATATCGTATTGATTTTATGCAACTGAAATGCAATCTATGCAAGATTGGGTTCTTGGTTTTCTGTGATCCTGATAACTTAATTATTGATGGGCGAATTTGTATCAATGTAACATGTCTTATTTACGTCTTTCCGCGATCCAGTGATACCTTTGCAACAATTTCCGGCCAAAAAAGGATACGTTAGCAGGTGCATTCATGTGATCCTGATACAACATAGCTCAAACGAGAACTGTCAGGTCTATTAAAATGTAACATGTTTGCACATTCTCCCTTTTCCTTAATACCGATAAGTACTATAATTTCGAAAAAAATGTTGTACCAGGAGAATATAATAAACCAGAATGTATATGTGAATAAATTCTTCTATATTGACACTTTATTGCCATTTTGCACTCCATTCCCCATAAGAATGCGATGCGGTTGAGTAAGCTTTATTTTAGCAGGAGTAGAAGCTTTATTATGGTAGGATTGTGAGTCCTATGTTCTCCTAGTACTTGACAGGCAGATAATTCTGACAAAAATGGAGAATGAAAGTGTTTCGCGCAAGTGTAACATTGGGGTTACCAATAGACTCACCTCATATTTTCCTGATACTTTGCATTATGTCAAATTAGAGTTAATTGTACGATTTAGATGCCGACGGGGAATAAAAAAAATATGGTGTTAGCACGGAGCGAGTTATAGTTACGGTAAGACTGTTGGTATCTTGGCCTCATCTTCTCCTGATACCTAGTAAACCAGTTTGTTATTTCAAGTGTTTAGGGCGCAGTAAATTGGAGCTGATTCTAGGATTTTGATGCACGTGAGGCTCGATAAGAATTATTTTAGCAAGTGAGCATTTAATGTAATAGGAGTGCAAAAAGTTGTATCTAACATATTGCGTGTTTCTGCGACATGTTCTCCTGATAACGATTCTGTCGCATATTACTGCAAATACTGCAAAGAACGTAGCACGGGGGGGGGGGTATATGGAATTCCCCCCAGGAAAAGGAAGGTTTAAAACCATCCAGCAAAGATAGACCCCAGCCACAAGCCTCAAGACGGTTTTTTGGAGATGGTAATAAAACTCTCGCCTAGTGGGGGGTATTTTATAACTCCCTTCCCCCCAAGATCTAATGACGAACGTACCCCCGGGGAGTCTAGGGGGTATAACATACCACGCCATTATATTCTCCTGATACCATAACCCCCAGACCCCTCACTTTGGTATTGTTCAAAGTTAACTCCTTGATTACTGGAAAAAATACTGGGGGCTGAATGTTTCGAGGCAGAACGTATGAAATATATTATGACTTTACGTGAGAAATCTTGTATCCGGAGAATATAAGGTGCGAGGAGGTGATTGAAGGTTAGGTTAAAGTATTAGTGAGGTTAGGTTAGAATGCTAGTTAGGTTATGTGAAAAATCTTGTATCAGAAGCACATAATGTGCGAGGAGGTGATTGAAGTTTAGATTAAAGTATTTGTGGGGTTAGGTTAGGGGGCTAGTTAGGTTAGGTGAGAAATCTTGTATCAGGAAAATATTATGTGCGAGGAGGTGATTGAAAGTTATGTTAAATTATTAGTGAGGTTAGTTTAGAGTGTTAGTTCGGTTAGGTGAGAAATCTTATATCAAGAGAATATAATGTGCGAGGAGGTGATTGATGATTATGTTAAAGCATTAGTGAGGTTAGGTTAGGTGAAAAGTCTTGCATCAGGAGAATATAATGTGCAAGAAGATTGAAGGTTAGGTTAAAGTATTAGTGAGGTTAGGTTAGCGTGCTAATCAACCTAAGTAGCACTCTAACCTAACCTCACTAATACTTTGACTTAACCTTAAATCCCCTCGCACATTATATTCTCCCGATACAAGATTTCTCATCTAACCTAACTAGCACAATAACCTAACCTCACTAATACTTTAACCTAACCTTCAATCTCCTCGCACATTATATTCTCCTGATACAAGGTTTCTCGCCTAACCTAACTAGCACTCTAACCTAACCTCACATAACCTTCACTTTTGTGAAAGGATTATCAGATTCCCTTGGAAGCACTACAAAAATCGTACCACTCGTGGGTCTGGGGGGTATGGAATAACCCCCAGTAAAAGGAAGAGTTAAACCACGGTGAAGGTTTAAAACCACCTAAAAAAGGGAAGCTCCACAACCCTTTTCATATAGGCCTCAGTACTCTCACGGTGGTTTTTTGGAGATTGCAGTAAAACGGATACAGATACTTGAAAAGCGCTTAAGTGCAAATCTGTAAATTGTGGTAGTAATGATTTAGTTTCCTAGGATAACTCTGTCTTCCTCATGTTCTCCTGATACTGATGCATCTCGATAAGATTTAATATCTTTAAGAGTAACGACTTAGCTATGTTAGGTAGACTTGTATCATATGGCCCTGATATTTGTCAACCTGTTTGTGTTATCAGGACCGCAGGTAGATTTAACTATCTTGGTACAGTCATATTTCTTAAACCAGTCCTTTTTGCAACGTATTCTGAAGAGACTCTCCTCATATTCTCTCGATTCTTGGAGAGTTGATTGTATTAGGAGTGCAGATGTCTGTATAACGACCTAATTCCCTAGAATAATCCTTTTGCCAATTATTCTCCTGATACAGATGCTGCTAGATAATACCTACTTGATGTTTTTACGAGAAGGAACATTGTAGTTAGACTCATGACATATTCTCCTCATACTTGGGAAGTAATTAATTGTCTCATGACTACAGAAAGCTCATTTGGGCGGGAGGACATGGTAAAGTTCTGCGTTCTGCGCTCAGAAGCGAACCATGATTTGAGTTGTTTTGTGGTCAACTGCTGTATTAGGAGAACATAGTGTGTAATCAGTGATTTCCTGGTCTCTCCTTATCGCTACAGTGATTTTGGGATCAAGTTTACGATTAGGAGGACGTAACAGTTGTCCGTCAATAAGTTATATTCCACCTTTTTTTTGCCCTTTATGCGATCCCGGTACAATTTTTTTAGAAAATGGGTTAGATAAGGGTACGTGGGTGGTTAAGACTAATCTCATATTTTCCTGATACTGGGTTCATTGTATCAGGACTGCAAATAACTCGATTCCCAGATTTCCTTCGCACTGAACCCTTTCTTAGAACTAATGCTTTCTGGCCTATATTGTTCTGACACCGAGGCCAATCGATAAGAGGTACTTTTATCAGGAGTTACGGTTTAATTGTTTGGATTGTAGCTTTGAGTTGATTGTGCGATTCAAATTCCGATAACGCTTGATAAGAATTATTTTTATTGCGAGTAAAGCTTTAATTATTTTAGTTTCAAATTCTACTTGTTATTGCACAAACAATTAATTATATCAGGAGTCCAGAAAGATTTTTTCTGCTTATATTCTCCTAATACATTGCAAAAGACACTCGTTAAAGGACATTAAAAGACTGCTTGACACCTAAAACGTACTTGTTTTCATCTGCCGCACCTTTTGACAACTTTTCACAAATTCTGCCCTCCTAATACAAAATTTGCTACCAAGATTAATACCAATACCAGTATCTCAAGCGGAAATATGCCCTTTATCATTAAATAGTTTTTGGTTTTCTTTTGATGCACAATTTTCCATTAAAAATTGCCGTATCAGGATCGCAGTACCTCAAGTGAGTGTAGCCCTCGAAAATCTTTGGAGGACTGCACAGAACTACTGTAGAAGATTTCCTTTTATGTACTCCTGGTTGTTCTCCAATGCTTAATAATTTTAGGCTAACACTCTGAAGAGGAAGCTTTTCAAGTTAGCAGCACGTAACCGCGGCAGGAACATGCGGAAAGAGGTAAGTTACTGGTGAATGCTTAATTTCTTTCTGCTATATATGTTTCAGATCAACGCTTTTGGACTTCAATTGTTGCACTACGAATTGAAAGTGTCAGCGGCCGGATTTTTCACCATCGATTGGTCACTGCTCTATACCGTAATCGATTTGCACATTTCTTCGTGTGGATAATACAAGAGGATGTTGTAGATGGCATGTGCGGGGTGCACGTACCTTATCATCTTCATACAGTTTGATTTGGCAGCAGTCTAACCGAAAAAGTTCCAATGTTTCATTACCACCCTCATGCCAAAGCGCGTTGAACCGTAAGCGAAGTTAGGTTATCCACCTGTAATTTACTGCAGGGTGTTTTTATATATTGATCTGGCACTCTATTAATCTAGACCTAGGATTACTTTTGACGCGCAGGGAAATTGAGTACGAGTAAAAATTTAAATGTGACATAAAGATTGGCGACCTTCCTTCCAAATTAGAAACTATCACGGTGAATACGAACAAACGCGTAAAGTTTTAAACCCGCGAATTAAAATTCTGACCGTGCTGTTAGTGGCGCGGCTGTCACTCCACGCCAAACCCGCACTATGCTGCGTGCTCCGAGAAAATCCGGCTCGAAGGACCAAATGTTCAAACAATTTTTTTTATGAATTGGTACAAAGAGATGGAACGATGGAATAAATGAATAAGTAGGAGTAGATCGTTTACTTTCTTTAACACATTTCTACACTAAACCTAAAGGTTGATACAAGCTTTCCAACTATTGAACCTTGAGCAGCCTCCAATGTCTACTACTTAAATAAAGTAAGACTCCAACCCGTAGCTTCTTACGTATTTCACGATTCCGAGCACAATCAAGAATACGTTCAGCACCGATAGGTATATCAGGAGCACGAAGCATATGTAGTAGAAGTCGGCGGGTGGCCTGTAAATGCGCGACTCTTGCCTTTCCATAGGAACTGGGAAGGGAAACTCGCTCAATTGACGAATAAACCGCAATTACAGCCGCCTTCCTGTCGTATTTTTAATCGAACTGAGGTTTTGGCTCAACATAGAATTGTAAACGTTTCGTCGAAAGAGGGCGTTCTGGCATGGTTTACCTATTATGTTCAGGAGGCTGAAGATACTCACGGCATTCTAGACAGAATATCCAAAGTACTCAGGATCCTCGAGGATATATGAGCGGTTTCGAAAAAGTTTGTTCAAAATTTTGAAAATTCTGAATCTGGCAAATTCTTTGGAAGGATTTCAATATTTTTTGGAAACATGCGTACCAAGACATTCAAAAAATGTGTTAGTGGCAGGTAAATGTGAAGTGTGGCGCCATCTATATAAATCCATCCTACTTTCGATCCAAACCCTGACTTACCGAACCAAAACACTTTATCTATTACAATGTGGTTTACTCTAATCAATCACTAATCAAGCACCTTACCTTCGACGATGTGTGCTTTTGGTTCGTGCGAAATAGAATTTGAAAAAAAAACGTATCGGCCCGGAGATCCTGTGAGTGGAAAGGTTTGTTGCACTTTCCCACTAGAGTGCATAGTTAGAGGTAAGTACATACGTACAGGATGTAGTACCTCAGACCTACTTTCAGATATAATAATAACATTCTCCGGAAGGGCAAAGGTGTGTTGGAGCGATGGAGACGGGCGAACGTACGCCAAGATTGAGCCACTCTTTAAAATGAAATCCAGCCTATTGCAATGTAAGGGTAGCCTCAAAAATTTGCCTAACGCCCATCGTTTCAGCTCAAACGAAATTCGGGCCGGGGCGTTACGTTTACCCCTTCACGTTGAACTTGCCCGAAAACTTACCATCTTCAGTGGAGGCGACGTGCGGAATGTCGCGGGGGAGGATAAAGTACAAGGCCCGAGTGAAGATCAACAGGAAGTGGAGCCTAGATTGCACTTGCGAGAAAATCTTTGAAGTGTACACATGCAATGACCTAAACGCAATGAGTAGTGCTGTAAGTAGATTCGTCCAACAACCCTGAGGATATTCTGAAACAATTTAAACCTCAATTGAACCCTTTGGTGGGTCGCAAGAAAAAGTCTTCTAGGGTTCCTGCAAATCAATTCCCTGAAAGATCCTTCAAAGCTCGTTACAATTTTTAAAAGTGAAATAAAACCCTCCACGAGGGTTCAAACCCCCCCCCCCCCGGCCCTAGGATCCTTACATAATTTTGTAATTCTGGGCTGCAAGGTAATTCCTTAGCACCAAAGCGCTAATTTTTTAGACCCTTCGAGGCCCGGTACAACCTTTCACGGTCAATTAAAACCCTCCAGGAAGGTTTACGGTTCCTTCACACCCCCAAGATTTTGTAATAGTTTTGTAAACCTATGCTGCAAGCTAATTTTTCAACACTAAAGCGATGCCGTAGACTGGGGTAAGTTTCAAGATTTTTCGAGGCCCGCTATAACCCTCCACGGTCATTTAAAACCCTCCAAAAAGGTTTGTGATTCCCTCACACCCCCCAGGATTTTAAATATATTTTGTATTCCTGGTCTGCAAGTTCATCTGTACCACTAAAGCAATTCAGTAGACTTCGAAAACCTTCAAAATCTTTCGAGGTCCGATACCACCCCTTACGATCAATTCAAACCTTCCAAGAAGGTTTATGATTCCTTCACACCCCCCAGGATTTTAAAAATATTTTGTATTCCTGGGCTGCAAGTTCATTCTGTAACACTAAAGCAATTCAGTATACTTGGAAAACCTTCAAAATTTTTCGAGGTCCGATACCACCCCTTACGGTCAATTCAAACCTTCCAAGAAGGTTTATGATTCCTTCACACCCCCCAGGATTTAAAGAATATTTTGTATTCCTGGGCTGCAACCTCATTCTGTAGCACTAAAGCAATTCAGTAGACTTGACAAACTTTCAAGATCTTTTGAGGATCGCTACCTAACTCGCTACAACCCCCCACGGTCAATTAAAACCCTCCAAGAAGGTTTATGATTCCTTCTCACCTCTTAGAATCTTTCAATGATTTTGTAATCCTGAGATGCAATCTCATTCTTCAACAGTAAAGCGATTCTGTACACTTCTCAAATTTGCAAAATTATTTTAGGCCCGCTACAACCCCTCAGGTTCCACTAAAACCCTCCAAGGAGGTTTATGATCCCTTCACACTCCCCAGGATTTTTTAGGAATGTTGTATTCCTGGGCTGCAAGTTCATTCTGTAACACTAAAGCAATTCAGTAGACTTAGCAAATTTTCAAGATCTTTTGAGGCCCGCTACAACCCCTCACGGTCATTTAAAACCCTCTAAGAAGGTTTATGGTTCCTTTACACCCCCCAAGATTCTTAAAAGTTGTGTATTCCTAGGCTGCTAGCTCATTCTGTAACATTAAAGCAATTCAGTAGACTTGGCAAACTTTTAAGATCTTTCGAAGTCTTCTACAACCCCTCACGGTGATTTAAAACCCTCCAAGGAGGTTTATGATCCCTTCACACTCCCCAGGATTTTTTTAGGAATGTTGTATTCCTGGGCTGCAAGCTCATTCTGTAACACTAAAGCAATTCAGTAGACTTGACAAACTTTCAAGATCTTTCGAGGATCGCTACCTAACTCGCTACAACTCCCCACGGTCAATTAAAACCCTCCAAGAAGGTTTATGATTCCTTCTCACCTCTTAGAATCTTTCAATGATTTTGTAATCCTGAGGTGCAAGCTCATTCCTCAACAGTAAAGCGATTCTGTACACATCTCAAATTTGCAAAATTATTTTAGGCCCGCTACAACCCCTCAGGTTCAACTAAAACCCTCCAAGGAGGATTATGATCCCTTCACACTCCCCAGGATTTTTTTAGAGTGTTGTATTCCTGGGCTGCAAGTTCATTTTGTAACACTAAAGCAATTCAGTAGACTTAGCAAACTTTCAAGATCTTTCGAGGCCCGCTACAACCCCTCACGGTCATTTAAAACCCTCTAAGAAGGTTTATGGTTCCTTTACACCCCCCAAGATTCTTAAAAGTTGTGTATTCCTAGGCTGCAAGCTCATTCTGTAACATTAAAGCAATTCAGTAGACTTGGCAAACTTTTAAGATCTTTCGAAGTCTTCTACAACCCCTCACGGTGATTTAAAACCTTCCAAGAAGGTTTATGATTCCTTCAACACCCTCAGGATAAAAAATAGTTTGTATTCCTGGGCTGCAAAGCTTATTCTGTAACACAAAGCAATTCAGTAGACTTGACAAACTTTCAAGATCTTTTTTCGAGGATCGCTACTTAACTCGCTACAAACCCCTCAGCGGTCATTAAAAACCGCCAAAAGGTTTATGATTCCTTCTCACCTCTAGAAAATCTTCAATGATTTTGTAATCCTGAGGTGCAAGCCCAATTCCTCAACAGTAAAGCGATTCTGTACACATCTCAAATTTGCAAAATTATTTTAGGCCCGCTACAACCCCTCAGGTTCAACTAAAACCCTCCAAGGAGGTTTATGATCCCTTCACACTCCCCAGGATTTTTTTAGGAATGTTGTATTCCTGGGCTGCAAGTTCATTCTGTAACACTAAAGCAATTCAGTAGACTTGACAAACTTTCTAGATCTTTCGAAGATCGCTACCTAACTCGCTACAACCCCCCACGGTCAATTAAAACCCTCGAAGAAGGTTTATGATTCCTTCTCACCTCTTAGAATTTTTCAATGATTTTGTAATCCTGAGGTGCAAGCTCATTCCTCAACAGTAAAGCGATTCTGTACACATCTCAAATTTGCAAAATTATTTTAGGCCCGCTACAACCCCTCAGGTTCCACTAAAACCCTCCAAGGAGGTTTATGATCCCTTCACACTCCCCAGGATTTTTTAGGAATGTTGTATTCCTGGGCTGCAAGTTCATTTTGTAACACTAAAGCAATTCGGTAGACTTGACAAACTTTCAAGATCTTTCGAGGATCGCTACTTAACTCGCTACAACCCCCCACACTCAATTAAAACCCGCCAAGAAGGTTTATGATTCCTTCTCACCTCTTAGAATCTTTCAATGATTTTGTAATCCTAAGGTGCAAGCTCATTCTTCAACAGTAAAGCGATTCTGTACACTTCTCAAATTTGCAAAATTATTTTAGGACCGCTACAACCCCTCAGGTTCCACTTAAACCCTCCAAGGAGGTTTATGATCCCTTCACACTCCCCAGGATTTTTTAGGAATGTTGTATTCCTGAGCTGCAAGTTCATTCTGTAACACTAAAGCAATTCAGTAGACTTGACAAACTTTCAAGATCTTTCGAGGATCGCTACCTAACTCGCTACAACCCCCCACGGTCAATTAAAACCCTCCAAGAAGGTTTATGATCCCTTCACACTGCCCAGGATTTTTTAGGAATGTTGAATTCCTGAGCTGCAAGTTCATTCTGTAACACTAAAGCAATTCAGTAGACTTGACAAACTTTCAAGATCTTTCGAGGATCGCTACCTAACTCGCTACAACCCCCCACGCTTAATTAAAACCCTCCAAGAAGGTTTGTGATTCCTTCTCACCTCTTAGAATCTTTCAATGATTTTGTAATCCTGAGGTGCAAGCTCATTCTTCAACAGTAAAGCGATTCTGTACACTTCTCAAATTTGCAAAATTATTTTAGGACCGCTACAACCCCTCAGGTTCCACTTAAATCCTCCAAGGAGGTTTATGATCCCTTCACACTCCCCAGGATTTTTTAGGAATGTTGTATTCCTGGGCTGCAAGTTCATTTTGTAACACTAAAGCAATTCGGTAGACTTAGCAAACTTTCAAGATCTTTTGAGGTTCGCTACAACCCCTCACGGTCAATTAAAACCCTCCAAGGAGGTTTATGATTCCTCCACCCCCTCCAAGATTTTTCAATCATTTAGTAATGCTGAGTGGCACGCTAATTCCTTAACACTGAAGCGATTCAGCAAACTTGGCAAACTTTCAAGATCCTTCGAGGCCTGCTACAACCCCTCACGGCCAATTAAAACCCTCTAAGCGGGTTTATGATTCCTTCACACCCCCCACGATTTTTCAATAATTTGGTAATCCTAAGCCGGATTCACCAGATCAGTTATACAAAGCTCCAATCAAGAATTATCGATTAAATTGGGTAGGTGCTTCATCTTAACACAAGTTTACGCAAAGAAATTGGTTGGAACACAAATATACGCACGTATAGGTCAAGTACAAGCAAAACATAAAAAGGAAACGCTTACCCTGATTTAATAAGATGTTATCCAGAGCAGTGAGCTCAATTCCCGGATAAAATGGAGACTTCTTATTAGCAGTGTGGAAAAATACGTTCATAAGCGTTGGCACTCGCAGGTAAATGGTAAATTTAAGCCAAGGTTATCCCAAATTCGTATGTAAAACGTATCGGAACTGGTTGTTTACAAACGAGATTTTGAAACTCGAAATTAAAACCTGAATCCAAAATTAGAACTAAAACCCTAAAAAAAATCAAAGGTAACCATCTTCGGTGATAACCTTAAAATGTACATACCTCTTTAAGAGGACTAATTATAGATGAACGTGCAACAATCGTCGCTGGAAAATATCAATTTATAATGGGTGGCGGCAATTAAAATCCCATACGTTTTGCTGTTCAATAAAAATCAAGTGCACTCGATCACAGTTCGCAGTCGAAAGAGGAAAATGAAAGTTAACCGTCGGGAATGACAAATCGCAACGCCGAAAAATTTCGCGCCAAAAGTTGCGTGAACAAATTCCAAGGTTACAGCTGTTACGAGGATCATTCAAAGAAAATATACCGGGAAAAATAATAATGCTTCTAATGGAGAAAATAAATTGTTACAGAACATTTCTTGCATCTTTGAAACTTTGGATATCTCTTAAAGTGCTCAAGCTTCGGAGATGACTTTCCGATGTTCTTTTTACAGTATCATTTTATTTTTCTTGAGGTACGCACATTTAAGAATAATTAAAGATCCATAGAGTGAAAAATGGCTCTTGGTTTTTTAGTCGTAGGCGTGAATAATAACACTTTTTTAGCCGAAGACCGAATCTCTTCAAACACATTCTCCAGATTTAACCCTACCTATCTTTTGTTTGTTTGAACCATCTTTTTTAAGAGAAAATATACCCCCCCCCCTTTACAATTAAAAATTGTTAAAAGTTTTTTAAAAATTCTCTTGAAATACGCATGATGTTGAAGAATTTTCGTTTAAAAATGGATGTTCGAAATAACACTTGGTACCGGACCAAATTTTGTTGTACTTTGTTACCTCTTGGAATTTCTTATGATTCGGCTCTAAGGGCCAAAAACAAAGGCTACTCCCGACGACTGGCGTGGATAGCTCTTTGTTAGCCGAAGACCGAATCTCTTCTAAAACTTCCTCCCGATTAATCCCTACCTATCTTTTTTTAATTAATTAACGCTATTTCGTTAATTAAGTGCTCCAACTTTGTTTCGAATTTTGATACAACTAACGGTATTTCAGTCTCCCGTTGAACGCTCGATTGAGAAAATTCCGACTTCGCTCGGCGTCAGCGGACCGATTCAATTTACGGTCAGCCTATCGGACGACCGATGCGTGCCCAATCAGGTGGTTCGATTTGTAGCGAGGGTGAAAAACGATTCCTGCACGACGGTGAACGAGTTGCGCTTCAGGATCGTGCAGGGTTTCACCTTCCATGTCAAGTCGAAAAGGGAAGAGATTACAGTATCCGCTACGGACCTGTTCGCGGTGGTCAACAGTGTCGTGGAGCCTGGCGTGGAGAAATTCTGGAAGCTTCAACTCAAAATTCCCGCAAACATGTCTGTCGCCTCATTGCCCAATTGCAATGTGATCAAGGTATTCTGGGAGTTAAGGGTGAGTATACACTAGAAGGTTTTGGAACGACTGTTTCGTGCCGCATCCATTTTGTTTTTAGGGCGAAGTTCGTCTGTCTTTTCCACATAGGAATATGCGCATTGAGGTACCACTACGTCTTGGACCTGTTTCCCCACCTGAAAATCCTGAGCTGTATGGAAATTCGCACTGAAACCAGCACCATTCGTCATTTTCCACAACTTGCAACATGAAAATGGACGTCGCCTACCTCTCCATTCAACTCCATCCGTGAATCGGTTAAAGGAGTAACAGAATTAATTCAATCTCGTTGTTACGTTGATGGTATAGCAAAGACATTTCTATTCGGCTGTTGAAGCAGTTCTCTTGGCTTCCATCGTTCAAATTTAATGAAAAAAACCTTTATAATGTCCGTAGATTGAGAAAAGCATACGAAATACAGTAATTTTTAAATAAAGTACATGACTTTCTGGTGTATTTCTTCGAGAGCCCCGCGAACCTGCCAAGGCTGGGAAATTTTCTTGAAAGATCTGCAAGTGACAGATGGCTCTGGAAAAATGGAAAACACAGAACGACATAATATGAGACCTTCAGTTGGTTTGAAATGCTTGAACTGAAGAGGATTTATTACATTCTGGAATCTTGGGAGGCCTTGTTGGTGTATAAGTTCTGAGAAGGTTCCTGAAAACTATAAAAATTATCTAGTGGAACTCTTTCACTTACTAGAGCTCAAGAGTTCTGATTAAACACTCTGGAAAGACCCTATAGAGCTTTAAAAAGCGCTCTGGAAAGCTTTCGAATGCTCTATAAAACACTGAGAACGATTAGAGTCTTATAGGTACTTTGTTGAAATTCATTATGCCTTTTTAGATGAGTCTAAAAACCTCCAAAGAACCTAGAAAGCTAAAATGCACTTGACAGACTCCAGTGCCTAATATCACTCGAAGGAATCTTGGAGGGAAGAGTATAGGTAGTACAAAAGAGCATAGAACATGCTGGTTTCCGATGAAAAAAGCATACAAAAGGCTAGTCGATACTAGAAAGCACTAGCTAGTGGCGAAGAAGCATAAAAAAACTTTGGTAAAGGCTTAAAGTGCTCGTGATATTTGTGGAAAAGCTCCAAACAATTCAACAGGCTTAGAAGTGTACTTATGAGACTGTAAAAAACGCTTTTCAGAGTTTCTTACGCTTTTGGTGCTTTCCACAGCTAAACGAGTCTCGAAGGCGCTCAACAGGGCCGAAAGATCACTGTATAGTGCATAAAGGGCACCTAAAATCCCAGGAAGTTGTCACTAAGAGGCTCTAGGAATGGCCCAGAAAGCATAGAAAAAGCTGATTCGGGTTCAGAGTCTGGAAGATTCACCTTTCCTTACAATTTCGCTTTGGAAAGCACCCAAGAGTTAATCCAAGGTGTGCTTTTTTTTAAATTCTACTTAGGAAACTCTGCAAGGCGCTCTTAAGGCCTTTCAAAGCCTACTATACTGCTTTCCAAATCCTCTTTTGTCCCTTAGAGAGCTGTCGGAGGCTTTCAAGGCGGTCACAGATCCCTGGAAACTGTATGGAGAACATTTAAAACCACTGGAAGGAATCTAGGGGGTTTTAGGACGGCTTAGAAAACGATGGCATGAGCTCAAAATCCTCTAGAAAGGCTCAAAATGGCTTTCAAAGCCTTCGAAAGCGTTCTTGGTCCTTTAGAGGCTCTCAGTCGGGATTAGAAAGCTTGGAACGGCATAAAAGCTATGGGATAGACTGCAAGTGCTTACGAAATTTGTAAAACAGTTATGTAAAGCTCCAGTGCTTTAGAACTACATCTATAAGACCCTGGAAAGCGTCCAGAAGAGCTTCCAAAGTCTTGTAGTGACTGTGGGAAATATGTCAGATGCCTTTTGTGCCCTTTCAAAAGCTAGGAGCGCCTAGAAAGTGAGCAAACAGAGCTAAAAACGAATAGAATACGCCCAAAAGTCTGGAAAGGATCATAAGAGGCCCTGCAAGGCGCCTATAAGGCTTTTAAAGCCTACTACTGCTTTCCAAATTCACTTATGTCCCTTAGAGAGCTGTGGGGGGCTTTTAAGGCCCTGGAAACTGTATGGAGAGCATTTAAAACTACCGGAAATAATCTAGGAGGCCTTAGGATGGGTTAGAAAACGATGGTATGGGCTCAAAATGCTCTAGAAAGGCCTTAAAACATTTCTACTGTTGTTTCGAAAGCTTTTTTGGGCCTTTTGCGCCCTTTTAAAGTCTAGGCGGGCATAGAAAGCACTTGGTAGTGCTAAACGTCACTGAAAAATGAAGAGAGAGAGCCTAAAATGTTAGGACCAGCTATCCGAGGTTCTGAGAAGGAATTAGAAAGCATGGAACTGCATAAAAGCTATGGGATAGACTGAAAGTGCTCGCGAAAGTTGTAGAAAAGTTATGTAAAGCCCCACTGTTTTCGAACTACGTTTATAAGACCCTGGAAATCATCCAGAATGGCTTCTAAAGTCTTCTAGTGGCTTTGTGAAAGCTTTCGGATTCTTTTTGTGCCCTTACAAAAGCTAGGAGAGCCTAGAAAGTGAGCAAACAGAACTGAAAAACGAATAGAATACGCCTAAAAGTTTGGAAAGGATCTAAGAGGCCCTGCAAGGCGCCTATAAGGCTACTGCCTTCCAGATTCACTTATGTCCCTTAGAGAGCTGTCGGAGTCTTTTAAGGCGATTGCAGAACCCTGGAAACTGTATGGAGAACATTTAAAACCACTGGAAATAATCTAGGGGCTTGGTTAGAAAGCGACGGTGTGGGATCAAAATGCTCTAGAGATGCCTTAGAAAGTTTTCCTTTTTTAGAATACTGTCTTAAGGACCCTGGAAAGCACCCAAAATAGCTTTTATAGCCTTTTATTGTTGTTCCGAAAGCGGTCTTCGGCCTGTTGTGCCCTTTTAGAGACTAGGAGAGCGAGATAGTGCCACACGTCACTGAAAAATGAAGAGAGAGCACTTAAAATGTTAGGACCGTTTCTAAAAGGCTCTGAGAAGGTATTAGAAAGCTTGAAACGCCATAAAAGCTATGGAATAGACTGAAAGCGCTCAAGTTGTAGAAAAGTTATAGCCGCACGGCTTTCGAACTACCCTGGAAAGCGCCCAGAAGAGCTTCTAAAGCCTTTGTGCCCTTTCAAAAACTAAGAGAGCCTAGAAAGTGCGAAATCAAAACTGAAAAGCGAATAGAATACGCCTAAAAGTCTGGAAAGGATCTAAGAGGTCCTGCAAGGCGCCCATAAGGCTTTTAAAGCCTACTACTGCTTTCCAGATTCACTTATGCCCCTTAGAGAGATGTCGGAGTCTTTTAAGGCGATTGCAGAACCCTGGCAACTGTATGGAGAAAATTTGAAACCACTGGAAATAATCTAGGAGGCTTTAGGATGGGTTAGAAAGCGATTATATAGGCTCAAAATGCTCTAGAAAGGCTTCAGAACATTTTTCTTTTTTAGAATGCTGCCTATAGGACCTTGGAAAGCACCCAAAATGACTTCCAAAGCCTTCTAGTGTTATTTCGAAAGCACTGCTTTCAAACCACCCTGGAATAAGTGTTCAGAAGAGCCCTTTCAAAAGCTAGGAGAGCCTAGAAAGTGGGTAAACGGAACTGAAAAACGAATAGAGACGCCTAAAAGCCTGGAAATGATCTAAGAGGCCCTGGGCGAGGATTAGAAAGTTCAAAAAGCCATAATAGCCATAAGTTGGATTGAGAGGGTGCAGAAAAGCTTTACGAAACTCCGCCGTTTCTGAATTTCGCTTATAAGACTTTGGAGAGCGTTGAAGGGGGCCTCCAAAGTCTTCCAGTGTTTACCAGAGGTTTTCTGCGTTTTTTCAAGGGTAGACGAGACTAAAAATCACTTGATTGTAGGTAGAGTCCTGAGTAGTAAGCGCTTAATATCCCTGGAAGAAGTCTGGCGGCTTAGGGAAGGTTGTAGAAAACTCGAAAGAATCCAAAAGTCCAGAAGTTCTGGTTTCCAGAATTTTTATGCGCTTTCGGAGACTTTCCGTGCCATTTGAAAATATGGATGAGCGCAGCAACCGCTTGATACCGCCTAGAGAATCCAGGAAAGCTCATAGAGAAGCCCCAACGCAGGAAGGGACTTTAGAACCGGAAAATGAATACAAAAACTGTAGAAAAACACATTTTTGGTGACAGTTTAGTAGCGAGGGGGGGGGGGCTTATGGAACACCCCCCAGGTGCTCGATGCTGGGGGGCGTTCCATACCCCCTAGACCCCCAGGTGTTACTTTCTACCTTCAACCTACCCTTTAAAAACCAGAATTCCCTACAAGGTATCTAAAGCATGCTCTAAAGCAACATTTTGGGGAACAGTTTAGTACCGAGGGGCCCGGGGGGAATGGAAGTCCCCTATGAAAGGAGGAACTTGATGATCCTGTCGAAACACAGACCCCCCTCCCCGGTATTACATTCTGTGTCCAAAAACATTCAGCCCATAGAATTTTCGTGTGTCAAATATCTTCCAGATATCATTCCTACAACATTTTCAAGAAAATTCTCTTAAAAGCAATTTGGGGGACAGGTTAGTACCCCCCCCCCCCCAAGAAAGGAGAGATTTGATGGTCCTCTTTCGAAACTTAATTGTCATGATAGTTTGCAAGAAGAGGAGGTAATCGAATCCTCCTGCGCGCTGATCCCCCCCTCCCCACCCCCGCCCCAAACGTTCAGACTATAACTGACTTTTTAGACGCGCCTTCAAACTTGTCTTTAGGACCCTCCTCTTTAGTAGCTCCTGGTTTCAAATCTAAGAAGATATACTGGGTGTTACTGTAAACCAGATACGCCAAATGACACCGGACGTCATTCCACTGAGTTCAGGAGTGGGGGATCGAGTTTCAATAACTCCGTTACTTTATTGTCATTATTATTTACATCATGATATGTACAACTGCAACGGAGCGAGTCTACACTAAGACTTATTTTAACGTATACTGGAACCTCTTACAAAGAGCAATGGTGTCATCCAAGAAATTGAATGTTGGTCTACCGGTAAACAACTAAATATACTCCGAGATGAAAATCTTCTTGAAATCGGGTACGCTGAAGCTGTAAGCGGCGGGTTTCGATTGCTTCTCCTCCAGGTCATTCTGGTTGTAGACGTCCTGTAGATATTTAATGTTCTGAGTGCACACCTTCGGTGTTGTTCGGCGAGTACCGCCATAACGTCCGTTGCGATCGTGCTCGCCGACCGTCATGAACGAGTTGGAGCGCTGAATCTTCTGGACCACGTTCTCCCCTTCGACGTACGCCTGAAAGCTCTCCAGTGACCTTTTGGAATTCGACCTCGTTATCCTGAGGTCAGCTCGGGCGTACGTTCTATAATTCGCCGGATCTCCTTTCGAGTAACCGTCCGACTCGCGACCCTTACCGAGCAGCATTCCGTCGACTGCCTTGCTCTGGTAGAAGTCGAAGTCGCAATTCGCCTCGGTGGTTATAGAGTAGCTGCTCTGGGAGGATTCGTCGTACTCGCCGCTCGCGTCGTTGACGGTCACGCTGTCGGTGAAGTACTCCTCGTCCGAGCTCACGCACTCCGACCGGCGGGAGTCCTGCCGCTTCTGGAAGGCTTCGGGATTCTGCCTGAATTTGTGCAGGTCGACCTGCAGATCGTTCAGGCAGTCTTGACTCTTCGTCATGCGTCCGGCGAGCTTGTTGCGCTTGACGAGCCTCGGTCGGTTAATGTCGGACTTGGAGAGTACCGGAGACCTGCTGTCCAGAACCGTGAGCTGGTAAAGACTGTCCTCGCTGACACTGATGCGCTTGCGCAGTTCGATGGTGCGCTGCTTGCTGAAGCTAACGTCTCGGCGCACATTCGGTTGAGTCACGAAGGCGGAGAGGGCCGCCTGGCAGGGCTGAGGGCCTCCTTGCATCTCGCACTTGTCGCACGAGGCTCGCGGTGGCTCTTGCATTACGGGTTGAATTCGGCGAGGCCGGACGTACTCCTGCCGCCGCAGATGGGACGAGTGCAAGTTGACGTTGAGCGAATTCGCTGGCATGGTCTTGATGCACCCTGCGAAACGGCGGTCAATGTACTCAACCCAACAAGGCGTAGGTACTTTACCGTTTCTGTCTTTGGTACGGCGATAGTTGTGGATGATCGGCAACCTACCATCGATGCTCGTATACAGCGAGCCATTGGTGATGGGAAACTTCGGCTCGGGTCGGATGCGCTCCGGAAAGGACTGCGCGATTTCCAGGCTTTGCGGTTGGCTACCGAAAGGGCGAAATTTACCGTCGAGGCCGACTGAAAGCGGGGGGTACGTCAATCGTTGTCGGAAACCGCCTCACTTACCACCTGGAGGTATTTTCTCACTGTGTTTGCATCTCTCGGCGCACTTGTAGACCTTCGAGACCCATTTGCAGAAGCGGGTGTCGACCAAACCCAAACCGACCGGTATGAGGACGTCTTGAAGTTGACCCATCCATAGAGCTACCCCGGACACCGGCCACGGGGAGATTATCCTTGGGAAGATGCAGATCAGCTGCAACAATTAATAACGTTAGATACTGCTTTGAGTTGTCTTCTAACCTAGAATATGTAAAAATTAAGATTTTAGAAGTTAGTCTTCCAGCCTACAACAGTTTTCTAGAAAGGAAAGCTTAAAGTTTCCGGAGCTTCCAGACTGCACAAGGAAGAGTGCACAAGGAAAATTCCCCTCGTGTTCTGCTTTTCTTAATTTCCTATTCAGTAGTTTAGATTTCCTAAGTTTCCAACAAAATTAAGGGCCATACCTTCCCTTTTTCCTTTGCAAGTACCCTTTTCGATCTTTCGTTCTCAAGATAATCTCATTTTAAAGGTTTTAAGTACAGTTTTTCGCCACGTATTCTTTTCCAGTATTTTTATATACCTTTGGGGGCATTTGAAAGCCCTTAAAAACAACCTTTCATAATTTTCTGCGTCTTTGGCAGACATTTTTAGGTCGTTTCCAGAGTTTGATGCGTATGGGCAGAGCCTATAAATAATGAGACGGGTCTGAAGAAGTATTGGGAAGTGTTTACAAAGGGAAGTACTTAAAAACCTCTGTAATATACCTAAAAAACCTTAGGAAAACCTGGCTTAGACTTCAGGCTATGGCAAGAAAAGACACTATAAAAACCTGAGAAGTGCCTGATTACCATCGAACTTATTTCTTAGGCTATTCAAAGCATTATACCGCTTTCCAAAGCATTTTCCATTGTTTTCCAAAGACCCAGTGGTAATTTCAGGAACTCTGAACTGGTTTCTTTCAGGATTTGCGTGAGTCTAAAAAGCACTCTAAACGCAATAGAAAACACAAGCTTGGAAAAACTTCGGAAACTTCTGAAAATCCAACACGATTAAGGGAAACGCGAGAGAGGTGTGGAGAGACACTGAAATACTGAAATTGGAAAGCCATAAGATGACCACAGGTGCTCGGACCAGCCTGACAATGAAATAAAAAGGCTTCCTAAGGGCCTGCTTTTGAACCTTCTAAAGTAAATCGACTTAAAGAGCGGTCTATAAAACCTCGTAGCATACTAGGGGGTTTTCTTCGGAAATACGCTAAGCTCCGAAGCTGGAATACCTCCCAATAAACAAGAATCTGATTACCCTTTCCATACAATCATGAAAGCATACTCACGAAAATGTCGTAGTATACTAGGGGGTATTCTATACCCCCCAAACCCCCAAATGGTCGGTTTTTTTCGGAAATACGCTAAGCCCCGAAGCTGGAATACCCCCCAATAAACAAGAATCTGATTACCCTTTCCATACAATCATGAAAGTATACGCACGAAAATGTCGTAGTATACTAGGAGGTATTCTATACCCCCCAAACCCCCAAATGGTAAGTTTTTTTCGGAAATACGCTCAGCCCCGAAGCTGGAATACCCCCCAATAAACATGAATCTGATTACCCTTTCCATACAATCATCAAGCCCCGAAGCTGGAATACCCCCCTATAAACAAGAATCTGATTACCCTTTCCATACAATCATGAAAGCATACGCACGAAAATGTCGTAGTATACTAGGGGGTATTCTATACCCCCCAAATCCCCAAATGGTAAGTTTTTTTCGGAAATACGCTCAGCCCCGAAGCTGAAATACCCCCCAATAAACATGAATCTGATTACCCTTTCCATACAATCATCAAGCCCCGAAGCTGGAATACCCCCCTATAAACAAGAATCTGATTACCCTTTCCATACAATCATGAAAGCATACGCACGAAAATGTCGTAGTATACTAGGGGGTATTCTATACCCCCCAAATCCCCAAATGGTAAGTTTTTTTCGGAAATACGCTCAGCCCCGAAGCTGGAATACCCCCCAATAAACAAGAATCTGATTACCCTTTCCATACAATCATGAAAGCATATGCACGAAAAGCTCGTAGTATACTAGGGGGTATTCTATACCCCCCAAACCCCCAAATGGTAAGTTTTTTTCGGAAATACGCTAAGCCCCGAAGCTGGAATACCCCCCAGTAAACAAGAATCTGATTACCCTTTCCATACAATCATGAAAGCATACGCACTAAAATCTCGTAGTATACTAGGGGGTATTCTATACCCTCCAAACCCCCAAATGGTAAGTTTTTTTCGGAAATACGATAAGGCCCGAAGCTGGAATACCCCCCAGTAAACAAGAATCTGATTACCCTTTCCATACAATCATGAAAGTATACGCACGAAAATGTCGTAGTATACTAGGGGGTATTCTATACCGCCCAAACCCCCAAAGGTAAGTTTTTTTCGGAAATACGCTAAGCCCCGAAGCTGGAATACCCCCCAGTAAACTAAAATCTGATTACCCTTTCATACAATCATGAAAGCATACGCACGAAAATCTCGTAGTATACTAGGGGTATTCCATACCCCCCCGACCTCCCGGTGGTAAGCTTTTTCCGAAGTACGCTAAGCCCCGATGCTGGAATACCCCCCAATAAACAAGAATCTGATTACCCTTTCCATACAATCATGAAAGCATACTCACGAAAATGTCGTAGTATACTAGGGGGTATTCTATACCCCCCAAACCCCCAAAGGGTAAGTTTTTTTCGGAAATACGCTAAGCCTCGAAGCTGGAATACCCCCCAATAAACAAGAATCTGATTACCCTTTCCATACAATCATGAAAGCATATGCACGAAAAGCTCGTAGTATACTAGGGGATATTCTATACCCCCCAACCCCCAAATGGTAAGTTTTTTTCGGAAATACGCTAAGCCCCGAAGCTGGGAATACCCCCCAATAAACAAGAATCTGATTACCCTTTCCATACAATCATGAAAGCATACGCACGAAAATCTCGTAGTATACTAGGGGGTATTCTATACCCCCAAACCCCCAAATGGTAAGTTTTTTTCGGAAATACGCTAAGCCCCGAAGCTGGAATACCCCCGAGTAAACAAGAATCTGATTATCCTTTCCATACAATCGTGAAAGAATACGCACGAAAATCTCGTATTGTACTAGGGGGTATTCCATACCCCACGGGGTAAGCTTTTTCCGAAGTACGCTAAGCCCCGAAGCTGGAATACCCCCAATAAACAAGAATCTGATTACCCTTTGCATACAATCATGAAAGCATACGAACGAAAATCTCGTAGTATACTAGGGGGTATTCTATACCCCCCAAACCCCCAAATGGTAAGTTTTTTTCGGAAATACGCTAAGCCCCGAAGCTGGAATACCCCCCAATAAACAAGAATCTGATTACCCTTTCCATACAATCATGAAAGCATACGCACGAAAATGTCGTAGTATACTAGGGGGTATTCTATACCCCCCAAACCCCAAATGGTAAGTTTTTTTCGGAAATACGCTAAGCCCCGAAGCTGGAATACCCCCCAATAAACAAGAATCTGATTACCCTTTCCATACAATCATGAAAGCATACGCACGAAAATGTCGTAGTATACTAGGGGGTATTCTATACCCCCCAAATCCCCAAATGGTAAGTTTTTTTTGGAAATACGCTCAGCCCCGAAGCTGGAATACCCCCCAATAAACAAGAACCTGATTACCCTTTCCATACAATCATGAAAGCATATGCACGAAAAGCTCGTAGTATACTAGGGGGTATTCTATACCCCCCAAACCCCCAAATGGTAAGTTTTTTTCGTAAATACGCTAAGCCCCGAAGCTGGAATACCCCCCAATAAACAAGAATCTGATTACCCTTTCCATACAATCATCAAGCCCCGAAGCTGGAATACCCCCCAATAAACAAGAATCTGATTACCCTTTCCATACAATCATGAAAGCATACGCACTAAAATCTCGTAGTATACTAGGGGGTATTCTATACCCCCCAAACCCCCAAATGGTAAGTTTTTTCGGAAGTACGCTAAGCCCCGAAGCTGGAATACCCCCCCATAAACAAGAATCTGATTACCCTTTCCATACAATCATGAAAGCATACGCACTAAAATCTCGTAGTATACTAGGGGGTATTCTATACCCCCCAAACCCCCAAATGGTAAGTTTTTTCGGAAGTACGCTAAGCCCCGAAGCTGGAATACCCCCCCCCATAAACAAGAATCTGATTACGCTTTCCATACAATCATGAAAACATACGCACGAAAATGTCGTAGTATACTAGTGAGTATTCTATACCCCCCAAACCCCCAAATGGTAAGTTTTTTTCGGAAATACGCTAAGCCCCGAAGCTGGAATACCCCCCAATAAACAAGAATCTGATTACCCTTTCCATACAAACATGAAAGCATACGCGCGAAAATGTCGTAGTATACTAGGGGGTATTCTATACCCCCCAAATCCCCAAATGGTAAGTTTTTTTCGGAAATACGCTAAGCCTCGAAGCTGGAATACCCCCCAATAAACAAGAATCTGATTACTCTTTCCATACAATCATGAAAGTATACGCACGAAAATGTCGTAGTATACTAGGAGGTATTCTATACCCCCCAAACCCCCAAATGGTAAGTTTTTTTCGGAAATACGCTCAGCCCCGAAGCTGGAATACCCCCCAATAAACATGAATCTGATTACCCTTTCCATACAATCATCAAGCCCCGAAGCTGGAATACCCCCCTATAAACAAGAATCTGATTACCCTTTCCATACAATCATGAAAGCATACGCACGAAAATGTCGTAGTATACTAGGGGGTATTCTATACCCCCCAAATCCCCAAATGGTAAGTTTTTTTCGGAAATACGCTAAGCCTCGAAGCTGGAATACCCCCCAATAAACAAGAATCTGATT